ATATAGGAAGAGCAGTTCTAGTTTTCAACATGTCCTGCAAAAAAATAGTAGGATTACTGTGAGAGCTGCGGTAACAAAGATTTGACAGTGCTGACAACGTAGTCCTATATTTTTTACTGGAACGAACTAACTAGTCTGGTAAGTTTTATATATATAACACTGTAAGGCATAAAATTTGCTACATGAAAAACATTCCAGAGCCAAACTTCTGTTTAAACATAAGAATACTCTACCTTGTACTTTTGCGTTCTCTTTTTGTTTTCTTGTTTTCGTTGGAGTAATAAACACTCAGCTTCTATATAAGAGTCTTCTGTAACACAGCAAACAGAGAATTAATGGATTATATAACCTGCTAATGAATTTTTGGCACTAAAATTCAAAGTTATATTATTTAAGTAACTAAATACACCACCGATACAATCTGTGACAAACATACTTCTAGCTTTGTGGTTAGATTTGACAACACCCAAGTCATCTTTCTCTTTGACATAGGAGTCTACCAATGGAAGCGCATTGTCAATGCTACTTGACGAAGCGGTCAAACTGAAATTGTCTTCCTCAAGCAACTTATCAACAAAATTAGCTCTGCGGTCTTCTTCTGTGCTTTGTATGGTACACAACAATTCCTCTGTAACAGCTCAAAGCAACTATATTAGAGTGATTAAGATATTTCCAAACGAGAACCTATATATGATACTTTAGAATGCTCACATTAGCGATACGCTAAACCTCAATTTTTATTCATGTGTTAAACTTTCAATTAATACCGATGCTCTTCTTAGCAGTCAAAATGTTTTGAACATAAATACCAAAATCATGCAAAAATAAGTGTTGTAGTGTTACCACAGTTGATTTCTAGTCCCGCAATTTCTGGACTAGTGAGAAAACTTTGTTTCAAATAAGACATGCCAATACTAACATAAATAGAAGGTGGTAATAAACCAGGGACATCTTACTGCAAAATTTATGGAAAAAGAAATAGAGACCAGGTACTGAGACAAAATAAATGAGATCACCTTGTTTCCAGTTCAAAACTAGAGAGGCATAAGGCTCTGTAATCGCAAAGTGGACAGGTAAATCAGAAAATAGCTTATGAAGAGCAAATGCCGCAACTTTGTTTTGTGCATCCTGTCACACACAAGTGAAAAAGATTTTACTACACATGATCGACATATTCATCTAGCACCAATGATTGTTTCCAATCAACAGCTTACAACTTAGATAAGGTTCATAATCAGATCCAAAACTTTGAGCACGTTGTTAACCAAATAATAGCGCACTAAAGATTCAAACTAGCTGTCCAAATTTTATTTTTCTCAGAACCTTGCAATCAAGGAATAAAACTGGAACTTTCTTGGGAGAAGATATATTCCTAACAACATTTTGTCATGAGGACCCTAACCAGATACATTTTCGCATCTTACTAAAAGAATATATAATGTTAAAACATGGATCAAACGAGTACCTCGATGGATTCAAAGTTATCATCTTTAAGAGGAAGTTGAAGAGTTACAAGACCCCCGGCTTGTCTGTTTTTACCCCGTCCACTGGCTTTGCGCAGAATACTTACAGCATATGAGAAATTCCTTTCTTCACCGGTTACTTTATTGAACTTTGGTGCTTCCCACCCTGATCTTTGACACAATTGATGGAGAAATGCCTTTGGGATCTTTTGCGCATCACCCTAGAAATTTGTATATGTTAAATAGATAGTCGAACAAAAGAAGCCGGCCAGTAATTAAGCATACAGTAAAACAAACCAAGAAGAAAATGGAGCAGGGAAATAACCAAGCTTACACGTTAAAGCTTAAGAAGGAAATTCCATATCTATTACGGATAGTTAGAACTCACTTTACTCAATCATTATAGCATTTGTGACAACATGAAAAATTAAGAAGCAAGCATATGCGCAATAAATGCATTAAGCACTTTTTACTTGTAATAGCATTTTGAAAGTTAAATATCCTAGAATCTTGTTTGATGAACAGTTACCTTCTTCCAGATACCATCTAGTTTCCCGAGATTTTTCTCACTGCGTAGTTCTCTCATCTTTTCCTCCTTTTGCAATTCCAGGAGTTCATGGGGTGAAATTTCAGAAGGCGGAATTTCTTCAAAGAATGTATCACCAAGTTCCACGTCCTCTGAATCTTCATCCGATGCAACTAAATCTTGTCCCGAGGAACTTGAGGGAAGAGCTTTAGTTTGAATTTCCTCAGACTCACAGCTCCCAGCAGGATTGGCATCTAAGGTCAAGTTATCTAACTGCTGAACAGAGACATCGTCAGCATCAACTGACTCATGAAGGTTATTGGAAGTGGGACACGTTGATTCTTGTTCTGTAGCACTTTCAAAAGCATGTTCACGCTGAAATTCAGATTCCAACATTGCTTCTGATAACCCTGCAAAACAAACTCAAATAGCTCATGACATGCTGCACCAAGTTAAATGATTGACTGATTGATTACTAAAGATTAAACCTAACCAAGATCAGATATCTCTTGCTTGAGCTTGCGAATTGCTAGGCCTGCTTGCTCCTGTCCTCTTTTATCACGCTTCTCCTTAGCTTTTATAGCATCTGACCTTGCCGAATAATATTCTTTGGCAATCACATCGAATGGCCTTGGACCAGATACCTAGTATGATTTGTGAAATCAAGATATCAGAACAGAGAGCAACATAAAAACCAGGAAGAAAGACCAATATGGAGTTGCAAAACTAATTAATTGAAGTCTGTAGTTTCACATAATCATCATAAGCAGATGAAGAAAGGTGCCACTTCTACCAAATGGTTGCCACAAAAACTCCGAAAATCCGAACAAAATAGCATACTAAACTTCTGCCATGATGGATAAGCTTAATTCATGTAATTCCCTTTTCAGCAAAAAACAACAATTCATGATCCAAATTCAAGAGCTTCCAGATATGCATAGTTCTGTAAAATTCTAAAAGTATGAGAGGATATTTACCCTTGAGCAAGATGCATGAAAGCTAACATGCAAGGACATTGCAAAAGTGTACCACATCCACATCCATGACGGAACTGGTCTCACTAAGTAGTCTACTATATTCCATTTTGTTTATATAATGGAGGAAACAAGCTGAATTACCTTCTTTCCGGGGTCAATACCATCTACCTCATCTTCCCAACATTCCAATTCTTCCTGCAAAATTTAATTCAATGAGCAAACTCATCCGTGAACTGAATATTGCTTTGAATAGTGCTTCATGATTGAAGCATTTTATATGAGTACCTCTTCCTGTCTCATCATATACTGACGAATCCAATCAGCTTGAGATGATTTGCCAGAATTAAGAGTATCTTCCTCATCTTGTTTGCCCTTCACTCGAACTAAAACCACAGGCTCCTCCTCCTCTACCTGGACTGAAGATTCAGTAGAATCATTCCAATCATCCCGTGAGGTCGATATCACACCCACAGAACCTCCTACAACACCAATGGGAAGGTACACACATCAATACACGACGAGTATAAGCGTTTACGTGAACGCAATGTTATGCATACCTGTGGAAGGAAATCGAGAAGCTCCAGTAGAAAACTTCACTGGCAACTCATGACTCGGCAAGTTCAAGCAAAGCCAATCAAGTGCAGCCTCAAACGTAGCTCCATCCTTAACATAAAGATACACATTGTATCAGACATTTTCGAAATGAAATCGAAACTAAAATTTCAACAAAATCTCGAGAATGGTGAAAGAGTTATCATACTCTAAGAGAAGAGAGAGCGAGCTCAATCTGATCATCAACGAAACCTTCGCAAGAGAGCTTCTCATAGACATTATTGAGTTTCTTTGTCTTTTGAGCTTTGGAGAGAGAATTACTGATTGGAGCCGGCACCGAAGGACCGATGCGGCCAGAGTTGAGCAAGAGCCGCCGTAAACGATCTTCGTTCTCCGCCGAAATCTGAAGCTTAGGACCTGAAGAAGGTTTCTGATAATTTGATTTAGACGATGAAGAAGACGAAGCAGCTTTGTTGCTTTGCTTCTGAGGTTTCTTCTTCGGAGCCATTCTCTCCGTCTCCCGTCCGATCAAAATAACGGAACCTGAAAGACGAAGAAGAATACTTAAATTTGGGCCTCATGGGCTTTATTCTTGAAGCCCAATTGTTAATTGTCTTTTATCTTTCCAAATATTATTTGGAAAAATGTTATTTAAATCATCCGTTGTCTATTTTCGTTGATTTAAAGCCTGAACTCTGCATCTGGTGATTAAAATGCTCAATTTTAAGTTGACTTTCAATTTAATCACGAATTTTCGTTGACATAAGCCAATTGAGGCACAAAATCGAAATCGAAAGAATAAATCTTAAGAAACTAAGATTAAATCGGGATTTGAGAAGAAATCGAGAGGATTAGAGAAGAAATCGAGAGAATTTTTAATTTTGATATCCATTGTCTTCTTTCGATCCGATTTTGTGCCTCAATTGGCTTTGTCAACGAGAATTCATGATTAAATTAAAAATCAAAATAAAATTGTGTATTTTAATCACTAGGTACAGAGTTCATGGTTTAAATCAACGAAAATGAACAATTGATGATTTAAATGACATTTTTCTCATATTATTTCTATACCTAATGAAGGTGCTCTAACCAAAATTCATCAAAGAGAATCCGAATCAAATTTTACAATAACTCAAAACGATGTACAAGTTTTGAAAATTATACTGAATTTTTCGAAATGGAATCGTTTGACAAAAATTCACTAAAACATTAATAATTTAATGTATTTAATTAAATATATAGAAAAATATATATTCAATATTAATCACAATTAATTAGTTATGTTTATTTTTATTACAAGTTTTTTTCCGAATCAATCCAAATCCAAATAGAACTAACACTTGGTTTTGAATAAACTAATTTTCTAAAATTCAAAAAATCCGAAAACAGAACCGAATCAAATACCCGAATGTCCACACTAATTAATTAATTAGGTTTAACGAAAGAATTGTTTCTATATATTGCTAGAAAAAACCCAAATTTTTTCATTAAAAATAAACAAATCACCGATTCATCTTTCTCCTAAGTCTCTGATTCTTCAAGAAAAAGAAAAAGAAAACCCTAATTAGCTTGTGTTCTAGTTGTTTAGCCATGGAAGACGAAAGCAAGATCGTCCCCAAGTTGCCAATCCTAGGCAAGAGAAATATACTAATCACAAGTGCTTTACCTTACGTCAACAACGTACCACATTTAGGAAACATCATTGGTTGTGTTCTAAGTGCTGATGTCTACGCTAGATATTGTCGTCTACGTGGCTATAACACAATCTATATATCTGGAACTGATGAATATGGAACTGCAACAGAGACAAAAGCTTTAGAGGAAAATTGTACACCGAAAGAGATTTGTGACAAGTACCATGCAATTCATAAACAAGTTTATGATTGGTTTGATATAAGTTTTGATAAGTTTGGTCGAACTTCAACTCCTGAACAGACAAAAGTTTGTCAAGAGATTTTCAACAAGTTGTGGGAAAACGAATGGATTTCTGAAGATACTATGAAACAACCTTATTGTGATACATGCAAGAAGTTTTTAGCTGATCGTCTTGTTGAAGGTTTTTGTCCGTTTGAAATCTGTAATTATGATTCTGCTCGTGGAGATCAATGTGAAAAATGTGGAAAGGTTTTGAATCCTATTGAACTTAAAGATCTGCGGTGTAAGGTAAGCTTATAATACTTCTCTCCTTTATGATTTGTGTTGGTTATTGTGAATTAATACTTTATGTTTTGATTTGTCTTACAGGTTTGTAAAACCACACCCGGGTTTCGCGACACGGACCATTTGTTTCTTGAGCTTCCGTTATTGAAAGATAAGTTGAAAAAGTATATTAAAGAGACCTCTAGTAGTGGATCTTGGAGTCGGAATGCTATTCAAACCATGGATGCATCGCTTAAGGAAGTGTCTAACGATAGCGAAAAGGACGGGCTTAAGAAGAGATGTATTACAAGGGATTTAAAGTGGGGAGTTCCAGTTCCACATGACAAATATAAGGAAAAAGTTTTCTACGTTTGGTTTGATACTCCTATTGGTTACGTTTCGATAACTTCATGTTACACATCGGAATGGGAGAAGTGGTGGAAGAATCCTGAGAATGTTGAGCTTTATCAGTTTATGGGGAAAGATAATGTGTTTTTTCACATTGTGTTGTTTCCTTCTACACAGCTTGGAACTGGTGAAGATTGGACTATGATGAAGACAGTTAGTGTGACTGAATATTTAAATTACGAAGGCGGGAAGTTCTCGAAGAGTAAAGGTGTTGGAGTGTTTGGTAATGATGTCAAAGATACAAATATCCCTGTTGAAGTATGGAGATACTACTTGCTGACCAACAGGCCGGAGAAGTCTGATACAACATTTAAATGGGATGATTTGCAAAAAAAAACTTAACCACGAGTTGCGAGCGAACCTTGGAAACTTTGTTTATCGAGTTTTGAGTTTTAGAGCAAAGCCTGAAAATAAAGGAGGTTATGGGTGTATCATTCCTGATGCTACTGATCCTGACTCTCATGATTTTACGAGATCACTTGCTGAATATGCTGGAAAATTGGTGGAGGACTATGTTAAAGCTATGGAAAAAGTTAAGCTCAAGAAAGGGCTTCATACCGCAATGCTCTTATCGAATGCAGGGAACACATACTTGCAGGATACCAATTTTTGGGAACTCTACAAAAAAGATAAACCGTCTTGTGCAGTTGTTATAAGAACTGCTGCTGGTTTAGTACACCTTCTTGCGCGATTGTTAGAACCTTTCATGCCATCTTTTTCTCGCGAGGTCAGTTATTTTTCGAAAACCTTGATTCTGTTTAGATTTAGTAGTATGTATGTCAAGCGTGATTAGTGTTGTCTCTTGTGTTTTGTAGGTATTTAAACAGCTGAATTTGCCACCACATTTTTCACTCTCCGAAGAGAAAGGAGAGGTATTACAAGCAAGTAGTCTTTGGGAGATTCTGCCTTCCAACCACAGGATTGGAACACCTCAACCATTGTTCAAGAAAATGGAAGAGGAAGAGATGAAACATTACAGAGAAAAGTTTGCTGGAAGTCAAGCTGATAGACTTGCTAGGGATCGCGAAATTACCGTGGCAAGACTTGATATTCGAGTTGGTAAGATTGTGAAGGCTGAGAAACATCCTAAAGCAGATGCATTGTATGTGGAAGAGATTGATGTTGGAGAAGATCAACTTTACACTGTTGTTAGTGGACTAGTTAACTATATACCTCTTGAGGAGATGCAGAACCGTTTGGTTTGTGTTCTTTGTAACTTGAAGCCGGCGAAAATGAGGGAGATTGTGTCACAAGGAATGGTTCTTGCCGCTTCTAGTTGTGATGGTAGCAAGGTAAAGTACACAAAACTCTATAACTTATTCGTAGTTTCGTTGTTTTCATTTCGGTTATATAAAGTTTTGTTTTCTGGAAAATTTATAGGTGGAGTTAGTTGAGCCCCCTGAATCTGCTAAGATTGGAGAGAGTTACAATTCCCGGGTTTGAAGGCGAGCCAGACAATGTCTTAAACCCGAAGACGAAAATATGGGAGAAACTTGTGGTGGATCTACACACAAATGAGAATTTAGTTGCTTGCTACAAAGATTTACCCTTCACTACATCCGCAGGTGAATGCAAAGTTTCATCTATCAGCAATGGCACAATCCGATAAAAAGCTTCCTTGAGCCATAAGTCAATTCTCTATCTTTCTCTTTAAGGAGAGGCCTCTGTTTTTAAAATTGTCTTCTTTATTCTCTTTGGTATTTGGTTTGTGTCTTCTCTTGTTTGTGAGATTTCAAAATTAGTTTAGTAATCTAATTTTTTATCAGAGGACAATTAGTACTATTATCCACATATGTCACTGTCTTGATTAACAAAATTGACACTTTAGGTTTAAAATTATAGTTGGTCATGCAATTAGAAGTTCATACTGTCTATTAATACTAACATTGTAAAGAGATTTGGACAATACTTAAAACTGATTAAAGTAAACAAAAAGTAGTTGGGAAGTCAACTTTTAAGGGACTTGGTATTGTCTTGACTTTACCTTGACACAACAGTCATCAAGTCTCTGCCTATAATTTGCTGTAAAAGCAAAGAAACCAAACCGATTCTACCCAACAAACCAACAATACCAATACCATACATTCTTCTCTATCTATTGATCTTCCATGGATATAGACGAGATGGAAGGAAATAATCAAGTAGAGCGACATCATGTCGACACTTCTCGTCCTTTTAGCTCGGTAAAAGAAGCTGTTGCCATATTTGGCCAGCGGATTATGCTACCAGTACAAACTCATACTGTAAACTCTAAACCGGTAAGTCCTATTGCTAGTCGTAGTATCAGCCAGACCGCTAAACCAAGAAGTCCTATTGCTAGTCCTGGACTCAGCCAGACTGCTAAACTGGTAAGTCCTACTGCTAGTCCAATCATCAGCCAGACTGCTAAACCGATAAGTCCTTTTCCTAGTCCTAGCATCAGCCATACCGCTTCTTCATTATCTTCTCCATGGAAGCAACGCTCCTTGTTGCCCTCTTCTCCTCAAGGTCCAAAAGAAGAGATCATGGATGTTTTGAAGAAGCTTGAAGCCGAGATAACGGAAACAAAGACAGAGGTGAAGATGTTGAAGGAGAGAGAATCAGAGACAGAGGTGGCTTTGGCTACTTTAAACGCCAAGCTACATAAGAACATGTCAAAGATGGCTAAAGCCGAAGCTGATGCTGCAGGGAAGAGCGCGGCAGCCATGGCAAAATCAGTTAGCTTCAATGACACACCAGAGAAGGAAAATAGAGAGGACCAGAGGAGGAAAGAGCTGATGATGAAGATGCAGAAGGAGTATCCTTCATTGGCTCAGATACTTGACAGTAACAAAGGAGACAAAGATGGGTATTTTGCAAAGACTAAGAAGACGAAGAAGAAGAAGAAACCTATCATTCCTCTGGTGGGAGATTTCTTCTTCTTCAAGAAGAAGAGGTCTGCAACTGATATTTCTGGACCTCTTTACACCACCTCTTCCACCCTGCACTTTTAGCTGATACACCCAAGATCATGTACTCTGCAAGTGTATATATATGTATATGTATATATGTATGCACATCAGTATTCGTAATATCTATGTATGTATGTGGTTTTTTTGTGTGTGTGTGTGTGTGTTCTTTATTTGTTTGGATTTTGAGTGCAAACCATCAGCGTGTGTTCTCCCTTCTCCTATAACAATTACCTGTCAACTATTAGATTGTCAATATACAATGTTACTCTACTAATAGCACTGATTAGATACACAATCCAAAGATTAACTTCTATATTCGTAGACGGAGAGAAACGAAACTTAAAAAGTGTGTGATGATACAACGTTAGGAAGTCAGTGCGAAAAAGGCCAAGTTAGCATACCTTTCTAGATACTGGTAACTCCCAACACCGAGCCTGTGTGAGCAAAAGGAATTGGTTTCTGGAACCAAAACACCTCCCAGGTTAGCAAAAACTCAGAAAAACAAGTGATAACTATTAAAAAATGAGTTCCGCAAAGATGTATTATTGAAAAGGCTTGTTTTTATTGTTCCAACGGGATTAACAACAACGAATAGGATCCATACAGAAAAGAGATGTAAAAATTACAACAGCAAGGAGGATAACGACTGCAGCAGAAAATGGAAAGAAAAAAGAGAGACACAAAGGTACCAAAACTCAGAGATTTACACCAAAGAGTCTTCTTAAAACTTGTTCAGCATATGCATCTTCCTTACCAAAGCATTTAAAGCCCGAGGTTTCTCAGGAGCTGACCCCATCTTGGAGTATCCTCATCAAAAATGTAGGTCAGAGGTGAAACTAATACCCCACTACCTCCGACCTGAAAAACATTGTTAAACCATTTAAAGATCGGGGTGGGAGTAAGATAAGTGAGAAACAAATGGCAGGGATTACTAACCGCTCTCAGTTGCTTCACAGAGTCATATAGGGCCTTTTTTGGTACACAAATCACGATGGCATAGTAGTCAACCGATACTTTTCCATTTTGTGTACAGTAAACTGGGCTTATTGTTGGTCCCTGCTCGTTATAGGAGAACCCATAAACAATCAGCAAGTACAAAAAAGCTAAGGCTTAAGAACTCCCACATTCCGAAACATTACCTGCAATCCAGACAATGATGGTTGGCTCAGCACACGCTCAGCCACTTCCTGAGCACTATTTCCTCTCATGTTTGCAACAACCTGAAATAAAATTATCAGACAAAAGAAAGCGAAAGGGTTGAAGAAGGAAAAAACATCATAAGAACCAAGTGCATACAGTGAATTGACCATCCGCCTTTAGATGGGCCTCCAATCTCTCAAGAATCTCGTGTACTGTGTTTAGTGCTCCTTTTCTCTCGGTCAATGCTCTTCTGCTTGCCACAAGTGCTGCCTGAAAGGCAAAACGGAAATATTCAGGAATAATGGGTCAACAGATTCTAAGCAGACAGTTCATGGCTCCAAGAACTTTACATCACCTGACTTTCCAGCACAACACCTCCTTCAATTTCTTTTAAGTTGTTCTCTTTGAGTGTTGTCCCACTACTCACAAGGTCCAAAATGGCATCAGCTATCCCCATCTAATTAAAAAGAACATATGAGTCAACAAATACTGATGGCAGTGTACAGTAAGACATGAAATCAGGACACTACAAGCTGACATCATTATCCTTCACAGAGTATGTCAGTTTAACACTTGTTTTCAGAAAAGTATACAAGCAACCTAATGCCAAATGTTAAAAGTTTCTTTCACGATCAAGAAAACTCCTTCCACTATAGGCAATTCTAAGTTCAGACTAGACAAACAACGAAAGTTATAGATAGCAACCGTGTTGACTGATTTAACACATTAGTACACCAGATGCAATCATGAAGATGCAGCAAACTATAGTTTCACTGAAAAATTGATGTCTATCCCTATGGAAGAATCGCTGTTTGACATACAGCATAGCTTCACCTAGTGTTGAGGAAAGATTATATGGGAATAGAATAGTGTAATCTCACCGCAGGAGCTGCCTCCAGGGCTCCGTCTGCAGTTGAAAACACCACATGCTTTATGCCGTTTTCTTTCATAAATTTAGGGCCGAGCTGCAATAACCAGTTGAATCACTCCCAAATATTATTTTGAAGCTAAATGAACTCTGAGAGAAAGTAGATGGCAACGGCGCACCAAAGAAGAATCTGTTACTCATCATACATAAGTGAAGCCAGTAGCTAAGCGTAAGGGTCTCTCTTCACTCCATTGGGGCATTTGTGCTAGCTCCTTCAGAGAATTTATATTCTCAAAAATCCCATAGTTGGGAATCTGAGGTCATTTGAGATGCAATTTAGAAACCATCCACAGTAATGATATGAAGACCCCAACCAATATAGATTAGAGCATACCGCAATGGATAGGTGGCAGTCTCCAAAGTTGAGAGCTTCATGGACAATGATAAGATCTTCATTTTCCTAGAATGAACACTCAAACATCTTAATTATGATGCAAACGAGACCATCCAGAGAAAATTTACAGAATACAGGGTAAACTCTATATTTTAAACCATATAGGCTAACACAACAATAGGGCTTATTAATGTCGAAGAATCGAACAAGAGAATGGATTTTTAATCTCCACAATGAGCATAATGATAATAACCACCACATCTAACTTACATTCTGAACATGATATCAAAACTCTTCAAGAGAAAAGTATTATGGTCATCACTTACCTGACCATATTCACTAAGTGTATCAAGACCAACGATACCTAGATCCAAATCTCCTGAGAGTAACTTCCTGACAATATCCTTTGGCCGTTGAAACCAGACTTCAGTGTTTGGTAACTGAAGAACATACACAAATACCAACATAAGTCATGTTACACAAAACCATAAAACACACTGTCATTTTGAGTCCACTTCGAATCCATACCTGTGGAATCTGTGCAACATATTGCCTAGGATTGACTTGTTTAACAAACAGTTGACAGTCCTTCATAAAAAAGAAATCACAAATGACAACAGTCAAAACAAGCTATGAGTTAACAAATGAAGCTTTGGCAACGATTCAAGAATTCGAAAAAAAAGGAAAACTTTGTGTTAATAAAGTGATCATCAAACGCAAACAACACTTCACTTTGCCTATGATTCAACAAAAACCAAATCACCTATGATTTATATCACTTAAAGATCCCAACTTGCTCCAATTAAATTAACACTAAAAAGCACAACAGAGTATAGTATAAAAATAAGCACTTCTCAATCACTATACAAGCAGAGACTGAAAAGCTAAAAACTTTAAATCTGAGATTAATAATCGCAATGTTAACCTTAAGAAGATCGATTGCATCGGCAGCCATACGTCCTTTACTAGGAAGACCAAGACGAATCTGGTCTCGTTCAACGACAACAGCGGCCGGAGCTGGAGCTGGAGAGGAACCGTTTGTTGCGACGGAGCTTTGAACGGTGGAGACACAAGAAGTGACTAATCTGAGACATCTCCGGCGAGGTACGAAGGCGGTGGAGGGAGGCGGAGATAGGAGAGGGGTTGAAGATGGGAAGGAGGAAGAAGAAGGGTATTGTTGTAAATTCCTAGGGAGAAGGAGAGACATTGTTGTGTGTGGCTTTTGGTAAGTGAAGGGTTTTTTTGGACCGGAGAAGGAATTATATTATATAACGAATAAGACACAACACTTGGGACAGGCAGATTCTGACTATTAGATTCTTGATGCCATTTTAACACTTAAGTCCTGATCCATGCGTTTTTTATTTTTTTTGGTTTTCGTGACTTTTCTTCTTTTAGTGGAACCTTTATGAGAGAAAACGTGAAAAAATGAATTTTTAAGGAAAAAGGAAGGAAGTGGGAGTAGGATTTTTGCGACATTTCGAGAATGAATTGGACGGTGTTGATCGAACGAAATAATAAAGTGTGGTTAGATGTGACGGCTGGACCATCTGCATTGGGGGATCACCCCCCTGATCTAAGCATTATTTAAATCCAAAAAAATGGGTTAATGGGCTTAAGATCAGGAACTGGGCTCTTGACCTGGATCTGTTCTTGTGGGTGTTGCGGGGTGACGTGGCATTTGGGCATTGGTTGGAATATTCAACATATTTGGAATAAATTTGGATAATAAACTATGTATTAATTAGATAAAATGTTTTTGTGCTTTTATTAAGTAATATGTTTGTTTGTTTATTGTTATTTATATTTTTAATGTTTTTTCATAAATATTTAGTATTGTATTTTCACTTTTATTTTCAGTTTTTCATAAATTTGGCATTTGCAATTTATATGTTATTTTTAAATGTTTTAATAATTGTAAAATCTTAATTTAATTTAGATTATTATATTATTAAGTCTTAAGATCTTACACATGTTCTCCCACTAATCAACTTCTAAACAAAAGATCTAAACACATGATCTTACATTATTTTAACATTATATTCTCTATAAGAACACCCTCACATGATCCCCCATTGATGATGCCCTTAACGGTGTAGATTGAGTGGAACAAAAATTGAATGAAGCATTGAAGATGCAAAACCGTTCTCCAATCATTGAACGTTAGAGAGATTAATATTTGATTTCTAAGATCAAAATATAAATTTACTTACCACAAAAAATGAAAAAGATCCGTGAGTTAAAGATGAAATTAACTCATATGATTTTTTCTCCAATTAATTTAACTCATATGGTTTAATAGAATCTTTTTGAAACTTTTTGAAAGAATAGTATTTATAGATGAAATTAACTCATATATGATTCTTTCAAAAAAAAATGAAGAACATCTTGGACCGTCATATTTTGGTGTTCGGTGTGTAATCTAAATTTGTGGTTAACAAAAACATGACAAAAGAAAATCTGAACTCATTGTATCGTTTTTCACCGCATCACAAATGGGAAAATTTGTAAACTGTGACAAAATGTAGATCGAACCGTTCAACCGACCGCATATCACTTTTTCATGTTACTTTCATAATCAAAGAGAGAAAAACTTTCTTCAAAATGCTCACATATAGCAAGAGTGTAACTAAGAACAACGTTTTTTTATTAGGCGATGTCTCGCTCTTACGTGTGAGTTTATGTTTTGGTTTTGAATATAGTTTTTCTAGTGTTTTAGCATAAGTGTGTAGAGAAACCCGATAGTAATACTCATTATTCACCAGAGATCTAGTTTTCTATATCTTTCATCTAAATTATTGGTTTATTTCGTGTGATTATGTTATCTAACGATATTGTATTTAAATCAATTTTTTTTTCTTCTACAAGTATGATCTATACCGAATATGTATGTTGTTCTACATATAGAGTTCTAGATGTGGCGGGGATTAATCAAGTTGGCAAGAACCATAGTACTCTTAACCCGAGACCCTAATCTCCTGAAATAAGTGAAGAGAGTTTACAAACTGTGAGAATATACTGTTAATCTGATAATGATACTTATTAGATATATCTACATATACATTTTTACAGTACTTTTTTGCTTTAATTCTTTTGGATCCGGGTTTGACCCGGTTTTATTGTGTTCGGATCTAGAATAAGAGATTTAAGGGATGTTGTCTTAATTTAAATTCTTTAAATGAAGCTATGTTGTCTTTAATTCATCTACTTATTTTTACCAAAATCAAAACAAATAACATCTCTCATACCTTAAGTATATTTTCGTCAAATGCAATCTCCATTGTTCCTTTATTTTCGCCAATGCAATCTGCAACAAACATATTTACAGTATCTGTCAATTTAAATTCCTTCCAAATATGTGTTGATGCTCTACTAAGCTATTATTTCGCACTTGACATATTCATAAACTATTTCCATAATCAAATATCTCCGGATTCTAATAATACCTAATTGATTCTACTGATATTTACACAATCAAAACAAATAACTGCTCACAGACCTTATCATGTCTATTGTTTCTCCATTTTTGTCAATGCAATATTTAACAATTGTATCTATTTAAATTACTTCCAAATATGTATTTCCCTCTACTAATTGAATTTATGTTTCCCGCCTATCCTCTGTTCATATCATTCCAGAGTATCTTTACATTATCCTCTCCTTCCCAAATATTTCTCATGCTCACAACCTATTTATTGCTAACCATTTATCTAGCTTCCATAACTATAACAATGCTAAGATTTTATGCCGATTTGGTCAAGATTGCGATACCAATATGCTTTGTGATCAAGTTTTCTTTAACCTACTATATGACCCTATATATAGTACCATGTCTAACCTCTCATTATCATCAGCCCTCACAGCCTCTAATCTAAACATTAGATCTTACCATAAACCATCAAACAATGGCTGCTGCAACATTTGCTTACCTCAAAGATGTCAGGCCATACACCACACAGTGGAGAGTCCAAGTGAAGGTACTTCACTCCTGGCGGCAGTACACAGCCATCTACATATACATTTTTACAGTACTTTTTTGCTTTAATTCTTTTGGATCCGGGTTTGACCCGGTTTTATTGTGTTCGGATCTAGAATAAGAGATTTAAGGGATGTTGTCTTAATTTAAATTCTTTAAATGAAGCTATGTTGTCTTTAATTCATCTACTTATTTTTACCAAAATCAAAACAAATAACATCTCTCATACCTTAAGTATATTTTCGTCAAATGCAATCTCCATTGTTCCTTTATTTTCGCCAATGCAATCTGCAACAAACATATTTACAGTATCTGTCAATTTAAATTCCTTCCAAATATGTGTTGATGCTCTACTAAGCTATTATTTCGCACTTGACATATTCATAAACTATTTCCATAATCAAATATCTCCGGATTCTAATAATACCTAATTGATTCTACTGATATTTACACAATCAAAACAAATAACTGCTCACAGACCTTATCATGTCTATTGTTTCTCCATTTTTGTCAATGCAATATTTAACAATTGTATCTATTTAAATTACTTCCAAATATGTATTTCCCTCTACTAATTGAATTTATGTTTCCCGCCTATCCTCTGTTCATATCATTCCAGAGTATCTTTACATTATCCTCTCCTTCCCAAATATTTCTCATGCTCACAACCTATTTATTGCTAACCATTTATCTAGCTTCCATAACTATAACAATGCTAAGATTTTATGCCGATTTGGTCAAGATTGCGATACCAATATGCTTTGTGATCAAGTTTTCTTTAACCTACTATATGACCCTATATATAGTACCATGTCTAACCTCTCATTATCATCAGCCCTCACAGCCTCTAATCTAAACATTAGATCTTACCATAAACCATCAAACAATGGCTGCTGCAACATTTGCTTACCTCAAAGATGTCAGGCCATACACCACACAGTGGAGAGTCCAAGTGAAGGTACTTCACTCCTGGCGGCAGTACACAGCCAGCACTGGTGAAACTCTAGAGTTGGTGTTATCTGATATGGAGGTAATTCAGTAGCCAATGTTAATTGGCAATTAGTTTACATTAAACCATTTAAAAGATATTATTTTTTTTAACTCTACTGTTTTTTGTTCTTTCACAGGGCAAGAAGATTCATGCTACTGTGAAGAAGGAACTGGTGAGCAGATATGTCTCAAGGTTACCTGTTGGTCATTGGGTTTTCATTGAGATCTTTGCTCTCAATTATGCCAGTGGCCAATTCCGTCCAACCTCTCATCTATATAAGATGACCTTCACAAATGGAACTCATGTATTTCCATGTGATCCTGTCTCTGACTCAAGTTACCTGACACTAGCCAGTTTCAAAAGAATTCAAAATGGAGATCTTAATCCATACATATTGGTTGGTAAGTATATTTTTGTTTTATATATATATTAAATGCGATAAAGTACAGTTTACAAACAGAACATGAAATATGTTTACCTCTGCTTTTCTTTTATAGATGTTATTGGCCAGATTGTTATGATTGGAGAGTTGTTGACTCTTGAGGCCAACAACAAACCAACTAGCAAGATTGAGTTTGAGATGAGAAATGAGACGTAAGTGTTTTCAATCTTTTATCCATATATCTACTATGGATCCTACATAATATGTTCTGTTTTGTAAATATAAAGTGATGAAAGGATCGGTGTTACCTTGTGGGGATCATTTGCTGAGACTGTGTACAGAGGAAGCCAAAATGCTGGTGGGCGTCCTGTTGTATGTTTGTTGAGGTTTGTGAAGATCAAATCCTTTAAAGGTACAAAAAACAGAATCTTACCAGCCTTAATAATATACTGATACTGTTTATATTGAAGTTATGGCTCATACATCTTATTTAAATTCTACAGGTGTAAAGACTTTGTCTAACTCATTTGATGCTTCACAAGTTTTTGTGAATCCAGCAATCCCTGAAGTTGCTGTGTTTGTTCAAAGGTAATCATTTCATGTGATTTAAATCTTTAACCTACTTTATTTACTTATGTACTATGGAACTAACCTATATATTCATGTTGTTGACATATAGTCTCCCAACTGATGGTGCACTGTGTATCTTTCGTGAAAGAGTCCCAAAGTTTGACATTGTTGTTGCCAATCAGGATGATACTTCTTTAGATCATCCCAGGAAGACCATTTTGGATCTCCTTAACTCTGTCGAGGTAATTATTTGGGATTGCTATCATTACAAATACTTTTTAATGTCTATAAATATCCATATTCATATCTAAAGTTTTTGT